GGGGGAGTTCCGGGCCCGCGAGGGATTCGCGGGCACCTTTCGTCACACGCGGGAGGCTTTTTTTTAATTACTGGTGTCTAGCAGTGCACTCTCGCAGTCAGCAAGAAGCTTACTGAATTTTGTGCGCGGTTAAGTTTGCAACGAGAAGATTATAGCTCTTTACTTCTGTCATTCCAAGCCTAGAAATGTAGTATATCATACCTTTAAAGTGAGCTGGTTTCAGAAGGGGTAGTAAGTTCACATTGTTCTGAATTTCTGTCTGAAATGTTAAAGGCGAGACTTTCTTGTTTGTGTTTTCTGTATGCGTATAGAACACTTCTTTTCCTCTTTTTGCTCCTTATTTACAAAACCCACCAGGCAAACGCCCCTGATTAGATCTCCTCAGGAGTCTTCTATAAATACTATTTAACCTTTCCAGAAGTAAGCCCGTTTAACGCGTTTCTCCTGGTAGCAGATACAGTTTGGCAGCTGCTGGCCCTGGCCGCTTGCTCTCTTTGCAGCAGTGTTCGAAATCTGCAACAGAACTGCGTCGAGGAGGTAGCCTAGCTTGAAAAACCTGGCCAGAAAGGACTGGGTTTAGGCTGGTCGCTCTCCTGGGCTCCTCCCCTGCTCTGCCCTGCATGCAGCTGTGCAGGCACCCCGAGTTGAGGGGAGCAGGAGCTGCTGGAGGTGGCCTTGCTGCCCGGTGAAGCATGCGTTTGGTCATCCTGGGCGCTGAGGCTCGGCTTGCCTGCTGCTGTTTGCTTCTGTTGCAGGAAGTGTAGGCTGGTTCAGGGAAATGGTACATCCCTGATGCAAACGATGTAATCACTACTACGTTTCGTTTCTCTCTCGCTGTGAATGTTTTCAAATGTTGAAATTAAGCAATCTGTTTTGGAGAGAGAATGTGAAAACGTGATGCTTCTAGACCTGTGGTGGTACACATCATCAAGGTATCTGAATGCTGTGTAAGGTATTTCAAGCATGAGAGAATATAAGCTTGAAAGAACTTTTCTCTTAAATGCTTTTTTGGGAATTGTGTTCTAAATAACTAAAGCTATTACTCAAGACTCTCAAGAAATAGCTCTGTGTTTCGGAGTGCTCTCATTTTCCCCTTTTTTGTTAAGTATGTAGCTTTGTATTCGGCCCGCAGGAGACTGGCATCTTAAAAATTGAAGCATGATTCTAAGAGCATGAAAAATACAATTTGTAAGGCCTGGAACTAATTTTAGTTACTCTGTCTTTTCACTAAGAAAAGTTATAGTTTATAAAGGTATGCTTTTAGGCTGCAGCGTTTTGTGATACTGTAGTTAGAAAATAATACTTTATTCTCCCAGAAGTCTTAAAATTTTCTTTCTTGTAACCAGTAAGTCATGATAGAGCCTGTCTGAACTTCTTGTTAGGTATTCCTTGGTCAGACTTGGAACTAAAAATTTGGAGGCAATGCTTTTGGAGGGTAAGGAGGAAACCCCTGTAGAGCGAGTTATCTCATTGCACAGGAAGTATTGAGAAAAGGGCTTGGAATTGAATTTCTTTCACAACCAACCACTTCTGTAACAATGCTATAATGTGATAGAGCAGGGTTTTTTTGTGTTCTCTCCATTGCTTGAGAATCCACAGAGCTTTCCTCTAGCGAGGATATCGCTGCATAGCCATGTGTGCCACTGTGATGCTTTCTCCATCCCATCTGGGGCCGGTCAGACCAAGGGAAGTTGCTCTGTCGTTAAACCCAGGCTTACTGGCATCTTTTGGGCAGTTGATGTTCTTGAAGCTTCTGGGGTTTTTATGCTTGTTGCTGCAGCGAACCCTGTAGCAGGTGATTGGTAGAGCAGCTTGATAAAAGAGTCACTTTTCTGTGGGCCGATGGCAAAATACCACTATGCAAATATAGGAGAACGTAGAGTGATGAAAAAGTGACAAATTTTTGACCTTTTCAGTCAAAAAGGGGTAAAAAAACCCACTTAGGAGCTTAAAGATGGAGTCTTAAGGACAAAGTGGAGAAATCATGAGAGTTCAGTGCTGTCCATCTTTGAGTGTTCTTTTTTTTTTCCCTTTGAATTTTTTGCAGTTGGTCGGGGGATCAGTCCTTCAGACTGACCAATAAATGGAGGGATGCTATGTTCGCTCCAATAAAAAGTGAGCAATAGCAGTTTGCGGAATGAAGTCATTTAGTTTTAATTATATTCTCTCTTGGCGTTGTCGTCAAGGGTTGATCTTTCTGAGCTTGGGTACTTTGCAGCTGAAGGAAAAAACCTGGATTGGGGAGAGCAGAAGCAAATCAAAATTGTGTGAAGAATCACGAGAAGGCAATCTCTTCTCCCAAAGAACTTGTCGAGATAGATCTTCCTCTCGTAAAGATACGGTGATAGCTACCCGAGGAGAATGAGTACTGTTTGTCGAAAATAAAGGTGTGATTTCTGGGGGAGAGAAGCATGCTCCACTTTTCGTGTGGCCCACAGTTTGCCCCGTGGTTCACCTGATGTCCTTTCCCCTGCCTGTTTAGTTTCAGAAGATTCCCTCGCCTTTCTGTCTGAGCGTGCCCTTCCCCCGGTGTTCCTTCTGAAGGCAGTGGCCTAGATAAGCATCTTGTAAAGCTCTGTACCTTATCTTTCTGGGGTTTCTCTTGGAGATGCTAATTTATTCCTTTTCACTGCCTGATGTCTCAATCTGACAGGCAATGTTGGATGAATGCAGAGGGTTGAATGCGTTTTTACTTTTGGGGGGAGTCTTGATCTGAGTTTTAAGGAGTAATTTGCGAACTTCTAGATGCACAGCCTTGACTGATTCAGTGGAAGTTACTTTGAAAAGCACGTGTGGATTTTGTAAGCAGAGCAAGCATAAGTTACTGTTTTCTCATTCAGAAGTGACCTTTGTGAATTAGGTGTGACGGTTTTGTAGCTGCCCGACTAGCTTGTTCGTAGTCAAAAAACCCTACCTTTGTGCAAATGGCTCATGGACTAATACTTGGGAAAGTGTGCCAGGTAAGGTGGTTTTTTTTCCCCTCCCAATTTTGCAGGCAACAAATAAAAAATTTTATTTTGCTCTAAATCTGTAAATTGGAGTTGAGGTGCCTTTGAGCCCCTGAAAGGCTTGTGCTACTGCAGTGGAAGCATGTGTGTTGCAGAGCTCTGTTTGCATACGCAAGTGGATGCAGCCCTCAGTTGCTTTCATCTTACAGCACTTTGTAGGTATGTGTGAGCCCCTTCAGTCGTGAATCATAGGTGTATAATGGGTTGTGGAAGTTGTGTGTGTGTGTGTGGCGATTGTAGTTATGTTGTAGAAAAATCCTTTGTTACGTTGAAAGCATTAACTCTGAAGCATCTGTAAATATTTGGCATCTCTTTGTGTTGGCCAGGCTCGCACTTCTTGGGACAGGGAGTCAAGTGAAATGCGCTATAAAAGGCTTCAACATTTGCTTGAAAAAAGCAACATCTATTCCAAATTCTTGCTGACCAAAATGGAACAGCAGCAACTGGAGGTAGGTGTATTCTTATCTGCAGTCGGGATTCTTAAGATGGGCTGCCTTTTTTTTTTTTTTTTTTTTTTTACCATCCAGCAATTTGAATTGAAGTAAAAATGCTGTTACGATTGCAATAACATGAAAATCTACTGGAACTAGTGACCAGGAGTGAAGTGGTGCTTTACATAATATTCAGAATTTTTTTCTACAAATTAATACATAAATCAGACTGGAAGGAGAAGGACTTATAATTTAAAATTGCACTGTAAAGGTGACACTGATATCTTTACAATTCTTCTGCTGGCCTGAGTGCTAGGAAGCGAAAATAAACTTTATTTCTTATTTTGAGCTGGAAAGCTTGGAGAGAGGATAGAAGATGCAAAGAATTGAGAAGTAGGAAGTTGTGCAGCCTATTTGTGTTAATTACTGAAAGCTGAGGGCGAGGCATGCTTTCAGGATGATAATGTAGGCCTCCCTCAAAGAAATTGGTAAATTACAGTCATCTTGAGGCCATGCTGTTCCCAAACAAGAGCTTCCATAAAACGATGTGGTGTGTTTTTTGTTGTTTTTTTGGGGTTTTTTGGGTGGTGTTTTTTTTTGTTTTTTTTTTTTTTTTTAATCCATGGGCTGCTGAGTTCATATCTAGCTTGATCTTGACTTTCGTAACTGTGCCCTTATGGAGAAGCTTGTAAGAGTTCATGCTTGAGAGAGAGGGAGAATCTTTGGAAAAGATTCAGGGCAACGATGTCCTCAGAAAAGTGGCACCGACAGATTGCAGGAACCACCTTTCTGAAATACTTTCCTAGTTGAACTTTCAGCTCGAATTCATGGCTAACTGCATTGATAGAATGAATGCGTGGTTCAGTACTGAGTCTTGCTCCATCTGATGAATACCAGGGTCTCTTATGTCTTTTTACATGGTTCTTTTGCTTTCAGCAAGTAGAAATAGTAGATGGAACGAAAAGCTTAAATTCTGCAAGACACGAACGCACTTCTTGCTTATGGGCATTGTAGGCTACTTACATTGCTTTCTGTTCCGCTGTGAGCACAGGCCGTAATGTGTAGGGGTTAAAGGGTAGCTGCAGGCGGAAAACTTACTGCAATAGATGTCATCTTAAGGAGTTTGCAAATGGGAACTTTTTTTTGTTTGAGTCTTTCTCAATTACTGTATTTAAGTGTTTAAGGGATTCCCTGACAAGCAGTTCAGAGCAGCTGCACTTTCGTTTTGCTTTATCGTTTTAAGCTGTGTCAGAATAGAGGCGTTTAGTGAGATACAAAACCAAAGTCTGTCGAGTACACAGAACTCTCCATTAGCAATGTAATCTGTGCCTGTTATCACCTCCGTAATGGATAGTTCTCTTGTGGGTGCTATTGAAAGATGAGAAATGTGTGTTGTGGTTCTGTTTTGGTTGGTTTTTTTTTAGGAGCAGAGGAGGAAAGAGAAGTTGGAAAGAAAGAGAGAGATGATGTTAAAATCTGCCAAGGTAAGATTAACTAGCAATTTTAACTTTGTGAATAGAAGTCTGACAAATTATGATGTCGCTTTTGATCAGGGTAGGTAAACTAAAGAAGTTAGATTAGCCAGTATTTGTCTTGCAGAAACTATCTAGTATACTGTATTTATTTTACCCCTAATAAGACTGTTTAAAAGTGCTTAAAAATTGTATACCGTGACCGTCATCTTAAGGAGATGTTTCTGACTAATTTATACTAAAGAAAATAGTTTGAATTTGTCTTGAGGAGTTTTTTTATTGTAGCAGTAGTTGTTTATTCAGCCAAGATGCTAAGTAATAAAAAAAATAAGTAGAAACTTTTTTTTGCTGTATTTTTAAAAACTGCTTAGGAGTAAAAGTGTTTCAAGAAGCCTTCAAAGGCAATGGTTTGAGGCCGATTACATCTTGTTATATGTGTGATGATAGTTAGCGATGCATAAGATGAGGAACTTCTTCCTATGTCTGTTTTCTAGGGTCAAAATCCAGTTGAAGGCAAAGAGGAGAAATCAGGTAATGTATTAGACTTTGACTTTTGTCAGTACTGGGGTTTTAATTTCTTTAATGTTTGGTGTGTCATATAAACTCAGATATCTTACAGGGACAAAAAAGAAGAGAGGGAGAGAAGATGGGACGTACAACATCTCAGAAATTATGTCCAAAGAGGTAGGCCATAACTGCAGATAGGCTTATCTGGAATTTTGTGGGACGGATTTTAGCTGGTGAGGCATTTGCTGTGGGACATCTGTATTTTAGAGCAATACACTCTCATATGTTGCCATCAGAGATTACATCAACCAGCAGCAGTCTGTCTGTAACATATGTAACAAGCAGGTTGTTTTTTTTTATTTTTAAAGTCTTCGGGCGGGCAGGCTGTGAAGAGACTACATCACCAGTTGGATTTTCAGTTACCCTTGGTAGTTGGAATGCGTTCTGTGGTGTGTGGCCTTGTTTAGAGTCACTTGTATGATTAATCATGTTGTATGGAAAGCTTTTTAAAGTATGTCCAGATTCTTCAATGAAAAGAACTTGTGAAATACAAGTTGTAGTAGCCTTCAAGGTTGAACAGCGTGTAAGCATAGTTTTTCTTTTTTTCCAGGAAATACTGTCGGTGGCAAAAAAAAGTAAAGTGGAAAATCAGGTATGTTGGCACATGTTATTGCAGTTTAATTGTGTTGAGCCTGAAGGGAGGGAGGATTTTTCCGGTAAATAAACATCTGTCTGCTAGATATTGAAGTCCTGAATTAGAAGTTTAAAAAAGTGGTGCAAATGAATCTACTTAAATACTTATTTTCAGAAGTCCAAGGTGAACATTTCTAATTTTTTTTTAACACTGAAGTTGAACATCTTTATACTTTATAGAATACCTGTAATTTAAAAAATAAAGGGAATAGGAATTTACTAGGAAATATTTGTGTTGATGTATGGCTTTAAGACAGTCATTTTTAAGCATTCAAACGTGGAGATAACAGGTGTGGTCTCTTCCGCTGTAGTTCAAAAGCTGCATGCACAGTATGAATTTCTGTCCAGCGTTCTCTAGAATCTGCTTACAGATGGAAATAACTGCACTAAATGCCAGCCACTGTGAGGAGGGTTCTAAGTCTGCTTTTATGGATAGAAAATTATAAGCCAAATTGTGTCAGTAACTGTCACTGCACTTCAGTTTTAAAGGAGTAAAGAATGCATGTAAGGCATTGAAATTTTGCATATTGACATCTACCGATGTAGTAATATTAATCCTAGAGACAAATTCTACTCTTGAGTTGACAGTTACTCAAAGTAAGTCTTTGTGTCGGGGGCTGACGCACTTCACTGCCCATTAAGACTGGTGTAAACTGGGGAAAAGTATGTATTAGCTGGACTTTGATGTGCATTCTGCTTGTCTCATCTTCCTTGAACTTCCCTGTACAGGATGAAAACTCTTCTGACAACCTGCGTCCAGAAGACCTGCAGAAAAATGGAGACTCAAATAGTGTCATTAAGGATAGGTTGTGTCAAGCTGTGCGGCACAGTGCCAAGCAGTTCCTTGATCCAGTACGGAAATTTAACGGACAACCAGTGCCTTTTCAGCAGCCAAAGATTTTTACTGGAGGTGTAATGAGGTGGTACCAAGTGGAAGGCATGGAGTGGCTAAGGGTACGGAGCGATCGTTGGTGAAATTGAATCTGTTGCTGGTTGGAAATGGAGAAATGGAAGGAAAGAGACAGTAGAAGTCTGTGATCATAGTTAGTACAGGGGAGGTGAAGAAGAGAGAGTGAATTCTTTGATTTCTCATGGTACAAGAATCTGGTGTTATGAAAAAGTTGTCAAGCAGCAGGTGAAAGGTTTCCGTGTGGGGAGGATATTTGTGTTTGAGTGTTTCTTTAGGCTTTCTGGTTGGTCTTCTCCATCTTCCCTTCATCTGTCTATTTTCTTGTTCGGCTCAACTGTCTTTTCAGCCTCTCCTTACAAATACTTTGTGAAAGCAGAAGGACTGTGTAGGCTACTAAGGGTCAGTTACTATTTTTCTCTCAAGGGCTGGAATACCTAGCCCATAGGTGTTTAAAGACCCACTACCACACAGGCCTGACACAGATGAGTTTTCCATTCTCTGCATCTTAGAGCCTAACTAGTAATATTAACACAGTGTTTTAAAAGCGTTTTGTCTTTAGTCTTTGAAATCAAAAACTAAAGAAACTTGCCATAAAAATTGTAACTTCTACCTGGTTTTGCTTGAAAGCCAAATTACTTTGCTTTTTGAGTATTGGAGCCAGACAGAACTAATTTTCATTCTGCTACCGTTCTCATATTTCCCTTAGTTTTATTTCTTTCTTTTTTTCCTTCCCCACAAGCATATATATCTTGTTTTAGCAGGCTTAGACTGATGTCCCAAGTGACTTCCACTAAACTCCCTCACTCTGTGCTGTCAGTGGGAAGTGCATAGGGAAGACAGGCCTGTTGTGGGAGGGGAGAAAACGGCTGCCTTGGGCCCTCAGACAATAACCTTCTTCATGAATCCTTATAAATAGTGGGTAGAGCAGCCAAAGAACACTTCTGTGCCTGTCTTCCTGGTGCTTTGTGAGAGGTTGCTCTGTCACTGGTCAGAATAGGCAGTGTCTGCACAAAGACCTTTTGCTGGAGCAGCTGGCTGTGTTGTTCGGGAATTGCACCTTTTGCCTATGGTGAAGAAGCTGTGCCTACAGAAGCTACTCGAACAGATAAAAGTAAAACCTCAGCACAATAACTTCATCTTTTATAGTGGGGAGCTAAGAGAATTCTTTGGAGCTGGGATGAGTAAATATTTGGGTAGCGTAAGCTGTACTTGCAGTTAAAGTGCTTTTTGGTATAACACAAGTTTACATCCTTTCATTTGATGCTGTTCTGGTTTTTGCCTCCTAGTCAGGCACTTAATTGATTCGAAGCACATCTACGTATGAATGTCTGGGGTTTACAGGATGCTTGTATGTATTTTCATCATGGAGAAATCTTCCTTGTCTAATAAAATGTGCCTAGTGGAGAGTTCCTACAGATGTTACTTTCCTAAAGATGTCTATTCTTAAGGTGTGTTGGTTATTTTGTATTTACGTTTCTTTTTCTGTGTATGCAGATGCTTTGGGAAAATGGTATAAATGGCATTTTAGCTGATGAAATGGGGCTGGGGAAGACGATCCAGTGTATTGCAACAATAGCACTGATGGTGGAGCGAGGAGTCCCTGGTCCCTTCTTAGTGTGTGGTCCTTTGTCTACTCTTCCAAATTGGATGTCTGAATTCAAGAGATTTACTCCAGAGGTAAAAGAAACGATTTTTCTTCCTTAGGTTTAAAAGAACAGATTAATTAGTTCTAATTCTTTGCTGTGAAACTGTCTGTATGTAGAACATCAGTTTATTTGTAGTTGTTTACATGGTTACTACACACTGTGCCATGACTTGCTATGTATTTACAGCCTTCTTGTAATTATCTAATTATCTCTACTATTGTCTGTTTAGGTTTAAATGAGCTCAGTTCACCTGGCTTCTAAACATGTCTTTTTCAGATTCCACTAATGCTCTATCACGGAGCTCAGCAGGCACGTCGTAAACTGGTTCGTAAAATTCACGGGCGACACGGATCACTGCAAATCCATCCTGTGGTCATTACTTCCTTTGAAATAGCGATGCGAGACAGAAATGCCCTGCAGGTATCTAAGTTCTCTTGAAAGCTCTAGGACGGGGGGAATGCCTCATCACTAACAGCAATATAGTAAAAAAAAAAAAAAAAGACCCCGTGTGCTGCCTGTACAACAATTGTCATACTGCAGCATTTACATCACCCAAACTTTCTAAATGCAGTCACCGTGAAGCAGATGTATGGCGTTAAAGTTTGGACTCAGCCCTTCTAGTCTGGCACAGTGAGAAACAGCAGTGTATAGCATCTTTGTAACGGGCAAGATCAGGCAGTGATGTTAGTGCTGCTGATCTCGCCTGGCACATGGAGTAAAGCTAAGGTGTACTGAAATACCCTGTCTTTTTGTAGCACTGCTTCTGGAAATACCTGATAGTCGATGAAGGTCACAGGATTAAAAATATGAACTGCCGCCTTATCAGAGAACTGAAACGATTTAATGCGGACAATAAACTGCTGTTGACGGGTACTCCCCTGCAAAACAACTTGGCAGAGCTTTGGTCATTGCTTAACTTCCTGTTGCCAGATGTGTTTGATGATTTGAAAAGGTAGGTTACCATCTGATGGTGAAAACTGTTCCCCTTTGTTCTGTTTGAGTATTATTGTGACTCTTCAATAATTAAACTTGCATCAGCATGCGAAGAGCTGTTCTATGGTATGGTTGTAATTTGATGTGATTACGTGGAGGCCTTAAAATGTGTCTTGCCTTAACACTTGTTTCACAAAGTAAGGAAGTAGTCAGCTCTGTGCGTAGCGGAAGCTCAACTCTGAGCTAAGACATGAGCGTTTGGGGGAAGAGGTGTTTGTCTGTGGTGCTGTCTGAGATTCTCTGAGGTCCGTGGGAGAAGGATCTTAGGGGGTCAGGTGGAAGAATGTTGCCAAAACAGTCTGGAGACTTAATTTTGGAAAAAGATATCGACTATAGATCATAGTGAATATTGCAACTAATACAAGTGTTTTTACCGATCACTTAAAACCTCAAGCAGCTGAATTGACAGGTATATTTCAGAAATACCTCCTGTTTACCCTCTCTTCGTGATGGATGTTAGTGCTTTGTTTTTTTTTAATCGCAGGATAAGAGAAGAATAGTATACTTAAATAATGAAGAATAATGGCTATGAAGTAAGCTATTCATTTTTTTGCTTTGTTTTTATAGCTTTGAATCCTGGTTTGATATTACCAGCATTACAGAAACTGCTGAAGATATTATCGCTAAAGAAAGGGAGCAAAACGTCTTGCATATGCTGCATCAGGTTTTCACTTATTCTTTGTGTTGTTTTTTTCATGGTGTATTTCTGACATTGACCATTATTATGAAGCGTGTCAAAATACTGCTTGTTAAGCTGAAGTCTGAGCCTGAGGCTTTTATTGTGGCACTTCTGAACTTCCTGAGACTTGTCGGGGTTGGGTGTTGTGGGTTTTTTTTTTCAGTCATTACAGCACTTATAAATGCTGAAAGGAACAATATACCTCTTTGATAGTGACTCATTTTTATTCTTGGAACTGAATTGGGTTTAGTCAAACTTAATATCAGTTGCTTGCTTCTGTTTGCCAAAAGATTTAACTGGTATTTTTAGTTTGTTAAAAGATAGCTTTGAGGGAATTTGTGTACCTTTTAGGTGTTGAACAGAATACCTTTTGACAAACTAGTTGTATAATGTGCCTGTTTTCAAAACCAAACTAACACTCTAAACTTTTTCTAAGGGGGGTGGTGGAAGTAAATGCTTACAAAACTTACCTTCTAGATAGAATTGGTGATGACAGTTTATTGTTTATTTCAGTTGGAAGTTTGGGGCTTTCCCAGAATAACTTTATTTAAGAAATATAACAATCAAAATTAACTGCTTCATAATAAAATTGCTTCGGGTTAATGAAAATTATTTGAAAGGTCTGTAAAGTAGTTACTGCTGCACCATTATGAAACACTTCAGAATTTTTCTGACGTCCATGGATGTCTTGTTTGAACACATGCATTACCAACATGTGTGTGTTGGAGTAGGCATCCATATTAAAATATGAAATACAGAACTCTGCAAATTAACTCCCTTGCTTTAAATTGTGAAAATAGCATTATATCAGTAGAGCCATTTGTGTGGTGTTGGTTTTGGTTTGGTGCTTTTTCTTTTGTTGTAAACTAGCCATGTTGAGAGCTTTGAGTAAGTGTAACGCATCTGTTCAACGTTTCAGATTCTGACACCTTTCTTACTGAGAAGACTGAAATCTGATGTTGCGCTTGAAGTTCCTCCTAAACGAGAAGTTGTGGTGTATGCACCGCTGGCAAAGAAGCAAGAAACTTTCTATACTGCCATTGTAAATCGCACCATTAGGAAACTGCTTGGAAATAATGAGGTATCTACTGATACGGATGTTAGAAATGTCCTTGCTATTAATGGTTTGTAGGCAAAACCACATCGGTATTGCTTCATTACCGTTGTAACTAAACCCACTTTTTGCTAGAATTTGTAGTCTGATCCTTTTGTTATCTATTTCGATGGCAGTTACTGTTTTTGGCCTCTGGGCACAGAACTGATACAATATGAGTGTAAATATGTTCCTGATTACTTGTAGCTTGGGGGAAATGGGAGACAGTTTTCACAGAGATGGCAGTTTCTGCTGTAAAATCAGTAAGGTGCTAATGCAGCTTTTAGAAATCAAGTAGAAGCTTTCAAAATCTACGGTTATGGAATTTTAAAATTTGGGCTGTGTTTTCTACTTAGACTTAGCAGCTGTAAGTTTTACTAAGTATCGCATGATGCGTATCACTGCAGCCTCTTTGGTACTGAGATTTCTTCGGTCAGCATAGCTTCAGAGACCTATCTGCTGTTGATGGCAACGTTATCATTTCCCACAGGAAGAAGTAGTTGAGTTGAGTCCTACAGGCCGACCAAAACGCCGTAGTCGAAAAGTGGTCGATTATTGTGAAGAACATAATGGTTCACCTGACGACTTGGAAAAATTGATCAGCAAAATGCAAGAGGAAGTAGAAAAAGAGAGGTGCCTGCCCTAAAAGATTAATTTTTTTTTGTTTTAATACCGAGTATCTCCCTCTTAATTTGCTTCCAGAGTTTTGCTTATTCAAACTAAGCAAGAAGAATGACATTTTGTAATTCACTATCTTTGTAGCTTTATGTCTTTCCTTGTACCTAATGTTCCCTGGGCCATGATAGCAAGGATTAGGTTGTACCACCACTCACTGACTCACTAGAGTTAATTAACTACGAGACTTTACACCTAGACCTGTGGCCTTTGCAGGATCTAGCAATAAAATTGCTTCCTGAGTCCCTGTTTTTATTAGTCACATATTAGGTAGGTCCTGTGATGGTAGTGCTATTGATAATCCATAAAGAGCTAAAATGTCCTGGTGTAAAACGTAATTCCTTTGGGCCGTTAAAACATTTTTCTCATGAAGAACTGTGGTTTCACCAAAACCTCAGGTTCTAAGATGGTGTTGGGTGCCAGCCAGGGAAGAACTGTGTAAGTTTAGTTATTTGATAGTTGAAATTTCATTGTAATAGCTTAGGTCCTGGCTACAGCTGGCAATGAGAAGGAAGGGCTGAAGAGCTTGGCTTATTGCTAGGCTTTGCAAGGTTCAGGTAAACCTTTTGTCTCCGGTGTCTGATTACGTTCACAGGTATATCTTTCGTTGGCTCAAAGACAGGACAAGGAACAGTGCTGGTGTGCTAACTACGGTTAACTCCTAGGTTTTTGTGGAATTACTCAGGAGTACTTGAAGCAAAGTTTGGGCTAAGACTGGAGGAAAGGGAGGAGTAGTTTCCATGCTAAATTCTGTAAAGTACGTAGGCTTAGGCTGAGGCCTGGAACCTGAATGGCCAGCACAGTTGTTGCTGTTTCGGTGACAGGTCCTGGTCGCTTTCTGGTGATTAAGATCAGAGCTGAGGCTCAAGACTGAGGGAGCTGAGCAATCAGTTTCATTCCTGGGTTTGGCAAGGTCTGTTTGTGGCTCTAAATTGGTTGGAAGTCCCTCGGGTGTAAGGAAAACCAGGTTAATCTTCAGGGTTGAAATAATCATTGCTTGATTTTTGTTCTGTTTTGTTTTTTTTGCCTTCTCTTCAGTATTTGTAGCATAATAAGGTGACACTTTCTGTACTAATAAGATGATACATCTTTTCCAGGCCAGTGGTAGAAGTGAGCATGCCCATGGATTCAGAGGTGAACCTTAAACTGCAGAATATTATAATGTTACTGAGGAAATGTTGTAATCACCCCTACCTTATTGAATATCCATTGGACCCTGCTACACAACAATTCAAGGTATGTATAAAAGCGTTGTGAGAAAAATTATTCCAGGCATTAAAAAGCCATAGACTGTGCGATGACAGCAGTACAGAATGACCATGTTGATGTATTGGGCATGCACCTCCCCACTGAATTCCAGGAGTGTGCTCAATCCTTCCATGAAGCTTCCTGCAGTTCAGCCTCAGTGCCTGTTCAGCCTTTGCGTAGTGATGCTGTAGTGTTCTTCGTTATGGCAGCGCATGTCTGCTGGGCGCAAAGTTACTGAATTCGAACAGTGGCTGGGTTCCATTGACTCAGGGTGTTTTAGGATCTGCCTCAAGTTCTCCTCGCAAAGGTTAATTTTCAAACTAAAAAATGCTGACCTTGGTGAACTGTTCATGACATAAGTTGTACATGCTGCTGGAGGTGCAGTGGTAACTTATGAGTGTGAAGTGTTGAAGGGCTGAACCAAGTACAGCAGTCATCTGCTCAGAGAATACAGCATCCTTTCTCTTCCTTGGAAGGGAAAAAATCCGAATTACATCACAAAGGCCAGCTGGTAGTTTAATCTGCATAAAGCAGTGGCTGTATAGGAAAGTGTGAAGTAATTTGAACTGAAAGAATCTTGAACAACTGGAAGTTGCTTGCACATTCTAAGCGTAAGCTTGTGGGCATGTGTAGGCGTGCTTCTTGTTCAACGAGTGATAACAGATTCAGCTGCGCCTCGGGAGTACACTGTTTATCAGTTTAAAGTGCATAAAAAGCAGATAGCCCAGTCTGGGTTGTGACGGGGAATTAGTTGATGTGTAGAAAATGCAGACTGAGAGTTGACATCGCTTACAGGAGCTAGTACCTGCTCAGGAAAATGGATTGGGAATTACTGAGGCAGCTGCTGTATGGCTCAGACCTGAGAATCTTCTGTGTCTCTGCTCTTAGCCCTTAGCAGGAATTGGATCTAACAAACTCTCGTGAGCACAAGAGGGATCTCAAGTAGCAGGGTGAAAACCTGTTCTGTGAACCTTTGTCCCTTGGCTGATGAGTAGTAACTTGTTGAGCACCACTTCCTTGTATTCCAGTAGGTGGAAGCCTTGTGCAATTATTACAAGCTGGGGAAGCAAGAACAACACTTTCCAGGTGGAAAAAATTAAAATCGGGATTTTTCCTTCCAGAAATGGGATGAAAACTAATTGTTTTATTAAAAATTATTTCGACATCTGAAGTGGTGGGGTTTGATTTAGTTTCATCGTGATTTAACTGATTCAATCTAGTTCACTGAAATTAGCGTTCCTTCTAATCATACGGCTTTTAGTTAAAAAGATCATACAAGCTTGTTTCTGTTAGCAGCTTTCAGGCAGCTTTTGTTGGTGTTTCTGAGTCAGGGAAGCCTTTGGTTTCTTTCCCTCCTAATATATGATCCCCTCTGCCCCGTTCCAAGGTTGATGAAGATCTAGTAAAGAATTCAGGCAAGTTTCTACTCTTGGACCGAATGCTTCCAGAACTGAAAAAGCGAGGACATAAGGTAGAGCTAATGATTTGGGGAGGGGGGCCATAGTTGTCTCCTTACGACCAAAAAACAGTAGTAAGGAATCTTGCTGGTTTTGTAGGTCTTGTTGTTCTCGCAAATGACTATGATGCTTGACATTTTGATGGATTACTGCTATCTGAGAGACTTCAGATTTAGTCGATTGGATGGCTCTATGTCCTACTCGGAGAGAGAAGAAAATGTAAGTATGAGTACCTGTCACTTGAGCCTGTTGGCAAATCCTGCTTGTTCCTGTGCCACACGAATGTGATTTCACACAGCATTTAGCCTTTAGCAGGAAAAAGACATCTATGTTGAACACTTGCTACTGCTCTAATATCAAATCTGCAGCTCAGAAGTACTGAAGCGATGAAGTGTTACTAACCAATATCTCGGTGTATGCCTAGAATAATGGGTGCTCACGGACTCTGTTGCCCAAATGTGAAGTGTGTAATCTGTCTAGATTAGGGCAGATGCTAATCCCCTGCACTTACTGTTTCCTGGCATCTGGGATGTGATGCCAGCATCTCTGGGAGCAAGTCTAACCCCAAGTAAAGTAGATTTCCAGGAAATGAGTGTTTGTACCTAGTGGGACACCTGTAACTTCACCCCGAAATTGCATGAGGATTTGTTACAGTGCAGTCCTTTGCTCTTGCATGCTTGTAGTGGTTTCGGATAACCACAGCATGCCTTACTACTGAGGCATGTATTTAGCATGAAGAGCAGGCATGCAGGGTGGTTCTGGAAAACCACCTTGCTGATGGTTTGCAGGGATGTGAAAACGCAATGCATGTATGGAGGAAGAAGTACACAGGATGTACCTGGGGGATACTCTGCAATTGCCATCTGGTCTGCAAAGTATGCATGAGTGTTTATGAAGATACAGAAAAAGTGGCAGATGACAGCCGATCTAGCTCAAATTGTGCTTCCCTTTGCCCCACTTTTTTCTGTGCTACAGTGTTGCTGAGGAAAACCAGGTCCCTAAATGCTTTATGTTGCTACTGTTAGAGCTGGTTCTTAAAGAGGAAAGGCTAACTAGCAACACGTCATCAAGTTACAGTGACTTTTATTAAGCTGGTAAAACTTTGTCCTGCTGGCTTGTGGGGATTTTTAGGAGTTGATTGTGTGCCTACCACAGTGTGGTGTAGGTACGGGAGGAGAGAAATCTTTCAGATCACCAGTCTTGGTGCAGCAAGGCCCTTTCCAGCTCCACGATCTGCTGCAGATGCTGATGTTCAGGAGAGCCCAGAGGATATGGGGCCTTTGGAGAGCTTAGGTAGCTGCTTCCACCTGGCAGTAGGGTGATGGTTTCTGTTTCTCTGCTGTTGCTGAAGTCCTGAAAGTTACTACACACTTTGAACTGCCTGCCAGCGTGTGGGTGGTCAGACTACATAGACTAGGTTTTGACTGGTGTTGCAGACCTGGTAGGAGCTGTGCTGACACTGGGAAACATATTGCTGTGAAAGTAGGCTAGATGCTGAGCGGGAGGCCAGGAAGTTACTCTTAGTTTTGAAGTAAGAGGAGGAAAGATACAGGGTGGCTGGAAGGTACAGTCAAGTTGGCATCATTTTAGATTGTTGCTTCTGTCAAGAGCTAGATATGTGTTCAGGCTCTGCTACCTTGCAATGTGCTTACCTTGCTCGTCACTGTGTGGTAGGTTATGTGGAGGTCAGTGTGATTTGGACCGTACCTCATGACAGTCATCTCCACTCTGTGTCTTAGACAACGCATTGACTGTAATCATCAGATAAGAAAATACAGTTGCTTCACGTCTTGGTCTTGTCCTGTCCCAGATGCATGCAATGTTTCGTAAAGCCTCAGTTTTGCCTCTGACAGTGTTTGCTGTATTTTATCCGTGTTCATCTTCTTAAACACAGGTGTCTCAAATCGCTAGCTACGTTGTTTGATCCATCTGTTTTTTAATGGATGAATTCTCTTCCAGATGCATCGATTTAATACTGACCCTGAAGTCTTCCTGTTCTTAGTGAGCACAAGAGCTGGAGGCTTGGGCATTAACTTAACCGCAGCAGACACAGTTATCATATACGATAGTGACTGGGTATGTTGACAGACTGTTAACTAGTGATACGTGTCATAAAATGCTTTCTCTGTTGCTGCTTTTGATAATCACTTGCTAACCCATTATGGTATAGACCATTTCTGTACCTTTAATGAGGGGTTATGTGAAAGTAATAGTAAGTAGTGTGTGCAAGCATGTTATATATGAAATATGCAGCCTCATTTGAAAAGTCCTAGCTGATTGAATACAAGGTTAGAAATGGTTTCCACAACTAGCCTGTTAGCCCCTGAGTGGCACCAAAAGCAGGAGGGTTTTTTCTGTTACTGTTGAATATATGTTTCCTGCTTTCGACTTATTATTTAAGTTCAAATGTAGCCGAACCTTCTCCAGGTTCCCTGTTTCCAACAGCTGCCATATTAGTACCAGCCCCTTAGATGTTCCTCCTGTGACTTGCCATGTGTGTTTTAGCTAGCTAGGATTCTGCTGCTCCTGTGAGGCTGGAGGCTGGGAAGAAGAGAGGTATGGAGGAGATGACTGAGGACCTCTGCATCTTCACTTTATTTTAATAGACAGCTCTGCTGGTTGCATGACTATTCAGCTTCAGGAGGGCTAAAGCACCTTCAGAAATGGCTGAAAACTTTTTTTAATATCTTTTCTTATACTCAGCAAAAACCCCCACAAACCTACAACTAACGCCCTCAGCTGAATTTGTGATACAAAACATGTCCATCTGTTGAAAACTGCAGCACGTAGTGCAGAAGCAGTCTGAGCGGGCTGGTTGCTCTGGGTCTGCAGCTACAGCAGTAGAGCTTGTCGTGGACGAGTTGAAGAGTAAAGAGATGTAGAGTTCTGTTATACCACGGCTGCCCTGCTTATTGCTTCTGTTCTGACTCTCGGAGCTTGCTGTTGAAGATGCTGTCTGTGGTACACCTCTTACAAAAGGTTAATGGTGTAGCTAACTTGTTTCTTTCTCTGCTCAGAACCCCCAGTCGGACTTGCAGGCCCAAGACAGGTGTCACAGAATTGGCCAGACAAAGCCCGTGGTGGTTTATCGTCTTGTGACGGCAAATACTATTGACCAGAAGATAGTGGAGAGAGCTGCCGCCAAGAGGAAGCTGGAGAAGCTGATAATCCACAAAAGTTAGTATCTTTCTCTTAGGACTTCCTGTAAGCATGTATTGCTTCTTTAAATCATAAGAGAAAACTCTTACTGCTTTGTGTTATGACTGCTTAGTATTTTTTCTTAAACACAAAAAGCTTCATCCTCCCAACAAGTGGGCTATATATTACTTTTCAAAACGCATTCTTAGACATAAGAATATTCACCCCTAGGCATTTGAACTTTGCAAGCTTTCAGCAAGAGTTAGATCAGGATTTTGTAGACTTTATGAACTGTGGCTTTAGCTGAGCGCCAGTTTCGAGACACCAAGTGGAACAGGGATCTCCACGTTCCCCTGCCTTCCTGCTCTGTGCCCGGAGCGTGTGACACCCTCCCGGGGAGCTCCCACTCCCAGCAGACCGGTGCAGCGATCCGTAACTCATCTCCTGCGTTAAAAGCGCTGGAGTTAGGGCTGGTCATTGAGTAACAACACCAGGTCCCTGCTAGTGGAAGGGTCCTGCTTACCAGGTCGCTAATGGTTCGGCGCTCTCTGTGCTTAGAGTTTGTTGTTTGTGTTGGAGTTTTTCAGGTGTTGGGGTACAGTGTATATATTTCAAGCACAGTGAGCTCGTTTGAAGTTTCTCTTTGAACAGTAATGCTCCGCTCAGGCTCCAACAGTTGCTTTCTGAAGTCAGAGACGTGCCCAGAAGCGGACTCTTTGTCTTGCAAAGAAAGAGCTGGCTCTGTAGGTCAGTGTCATAGGGAGACAAGTCAATGAGCCAGTGAGTGGCTCCTAAAACTGTAATGTTTTACGCTTGGATGCTTGCCCTCAATACATGGTACTAAGGAAGGTGTGAAATTTCTCCTTGCCTTCCTAGAAATCTAAGGAAATCAATGACTAAGGTTCACAAAAATAATCCGAGTGCTGGAGCACCTCTCCTATGAGGACAGGCTGAGAGAGTTGGGGTGGTTCAGCCTGGAGAAGACGGCTGCGAGGAGACCTTATTGTGGCCTTTCAGTACTTAAAGGGGAGCCTACAGGAAAGAGGGGGACAGGCTTTTTAGCAAGGCCTGTTGTGACAGGACAAGGAGTAATGATTTTAAACTAAGAGAGAGTAGGTTTAAACTGGATATAAGGAAGAAATTTTTTACCATGAGGGTGGTGAAACCCTGGAGCAGGTTGCTCAGAGAGGTAGCGGAGGCCTCGCCACTGGAAGCGTTCAAGGCCAGGTTGGACGGGGCTCTGAGCAAACTGATCCGGTTAAAGATGTCCCTGCTCACTGCAGATTGGGGGTAGATGGCTTCTAAAGGTCCCTTCCAACCCGAAGCATTGTATGATTTTATGTGAAGAACAAAGGTGATTCTTACTGTGTTCTTGATTATATAGCTGGTCATACTGATAGGTCTTTAGAAGGTGATTGGGTTGAAGTGTCTCTTTTGGGGGTAAATTTTTCTTGTTTGGGTCCTGTAGGAATCCTGCTTTTCTTTCCTAGTGTATTCTGTTTGTGGCATTTGGACAGTAGCTCCCTCTAGCATTTCCCAAACACTAAGCTCACTTGAAAAATACAGTTCCTGTAACTTGGTATGGACTTCTGACAATAATTATTAGCCTTATGTTAAAGGAGGTGAAGAACTTGCAATAGTATATTGAGGGGGAAAAAAAGCACTTTCATGAGGGCATAAAGGGGCAGAAAGGCCACAGCTGTAACTGTCTATACAGCACAGGGCACTGCTTTGTCAGGCCTGAGCTGTGGTTTGCCTCTGGTTTTGGATGATGTTCGCTATTCTTTGTTAGACGCTTCCTCTAACTTCAGCCTTTTTCTTTGTAATCTGTTTGCTACTGCTGTCTTGGTGTGACTGCCAGGATTGCTGTTTGACTCTTTGTAGACATGTTAATGACCAAGTTAAGTAAGAAGAATTTGGGGTTTAGTGATCTGATTATGGTTCAGCCTGAAGTTCAGACCAAAGTGGCAAGATGAGCGCATAAAACAGGATGGGCTGTAATGGTAGATGACTGCCATATACTGTAGTAGCAGTGGGAACCGGGGACTGGTTTTGCTGGAAGGAAGCGAAGTGTCAAATTGGGTCATGCCTTCAGTTCTGCAAAAAGTTGAATGGAAGCTTTGGATCCACTGTGTAAATGTAAAGCTGATGTAATGGATCCTGTAATTTTGAATATCTAAAGAAGTGTTGGAACGTTGCAGGAGTGAATGAGGAAGGGAGGGATATTACAAAGCTAACTTAAGTCGGGCCTTTCAGTGGTGTCTAACCACGTCGAGTGTGTACAGTACAAGTACTGGAGCTTAAGAACTGGAATTTGTTGCAAAACAGAATGCTTTTTTTGGGCTCGGCACCAGGTTACTCGTTCTGTCTTGTGCTTCCATTTTATTGAGCACAGTTTCCTTGGAAACTGTGTGAGAACCAGCATGATTTTACCTAAACTAGTAGATGTCAGACTAAGAGGAAGTGATGGACATAAACTGTTCAAAGCGTGAAGTGCTTTATGGTCTTCTGTACTTTTGTCTTTGTCACACAACCCAAGACCTGCACAGCACTAATTCAATGCCATATAGTTTGTGAAACCCTGAAAGCTGAAATGGTGAGACTGTCACTAAGCATGCGTCACAGGACCCGGATCCTGTGTGTCACAGCGAGAGATGTTAATAGGGGAGATTCTCTAATCCTATAGCTCAAACACCTCTGGAACTTGAGTCTCATTTGCACTTTGCAGAGAAGCAGTCCATCCTTGGAGGGAGATGGGAAAAGGTGTGGGGAGGATTTCTGAAACCAAGATATAGGTGAGGACAGCAGTGAGCATGGTGAAAAGGGATCAATGAAGGCTCAGTAATAAAATGCGTATACATGCTGATAGAAACTGAGAAAACTTGGCTCAGAACAGTAAGCCTTAGGCATTTCCTTCAAGTGTGCAAGGCCGAGTTTGACTTCATCTGTGCTCAGCTTTGGTTAAGTAAAAATCTTATATAATTTTTTTAATGTATTTGGGCTGACATCCAGATTTCTGTGTAGATAGACTTTAGTGTGGTCTCTTCAAGAAACCAGCCTGTGTCAGGTGTGTTATTTTGTCGTGTCTGTCTAGCCCGTTAAACTGAGGGCTGTGCTCTGCAAACCACACATCTTTCATGTATTTCCTACCTTGTGGTTAATACTGCTTACTTTGTTTCAACCAGCTCACAATACAAAGGGAACAAACTTCAGCATCCACCATCTAACTTTATTTACAATCTTTTTACTGTAAGTAGAACTAATGGCTTTTCTGCTCTGTGTGTGCGTGTGTGCATGTTGAATTGGTGTTTCAATCAGTTCTCCTGCATACGGCAGCTAGACGGTGGAAGGCCTGCATGTAAACTCTTCATGTGCCTCTGACTCTTTCCGTCAGTTAGGCTGTTAGCATACGGTGTGTTTGCCTGAGGGCTAAAACAATAAAACATAGCATTAGTTTTGATGTGCAAGAGTAATTTGTTCGATACGTGCGTCCAGCATTGATTTAACAATTTACAGAATTTGTTTCTGTGCACTTTCTTAAAATTTCTTCTTTCTACAGATCAGTTCAAAGGTGGCAAATCTGGTCTAGCACAGGCAAAGAGCTGCCTGGACCCCCAGGAATTAATAGAATTACTGAAATCCAGAGACTATGAGAGGTATGCAGATTTTATGTTTTTCTTGGACCACGAGTTTGTAACTTGCAGCTTGCAAGCAGCTGTCAGTAGTTCTCTTGTCTTACGAAGTGGTATGTGAGCCTTCATAGGGGAAAGAATGTCCTGGGGATTCTGCTGTGTGGGAAAACTGGCCTCTGTGCAACTGTAACATGCTTCTGTCTCTATTTGAAGTGAGATTATTTCTTCCTCAACAGGGAGGTTAAAGGATCTAAAGAAAAAGTAATCAGCAACAAAGATCTAGAGTTACTCTTGGATAGGAGTGATCTGATTGGTAAGCCGGAGTTTTCAGCTTTTTTTTTTCTGTTCAACAATAAATTTGTATTTTGTAAGTCTTTATATGTAGAAAGCTGCCATAGCTTCACTTCCCTACAGCTGTGTTGTGCATCCAAAGAAGGGCTGTTTGCTGATGTTTCCAATAGGATTTTCTGAAGAAGAAATAACAGAACTTAAACAGAAGTATTCCAGAAACCCACATTCATGCACAGTGTGCCCTGAACATACTGTGAATGTACAGCATAGACTGGGAGGTGTTCTGCAAAGCACCTTTCCCTGTACATTGCTGTAATTGATCAAAAGAGAAATTATTCTCAAAAGATGTATTTTGGCAAACTTGTTTAAAAACCTGTTTTGATAGTATCATAATTCAACATACAACGTAACATTTTTGGGGGAGAAAAACTGAGCTTTCAGAGTTACCATGGCTTGTCAGTGGATCAAATATTTAAAAAAAAAAAAATAAAAATAAAAGTTGAGGTTGTCTGAAAATTCTAGTGCTTGATCAGGCCAAAATATAAAAACCCCTTAACTCTTCTGAGAAAGGAAAAAATTCTGGTCAAATTCATCTAAACAGTAGATTTAAGTATGCTTCAGCATCTTTAGCAGAGATAAGCCTCAAAGCGTAGATACAGAAAAATATCAGTCGTTGCAGAATTTGGAGGTAAAAATGATAGGTAGCCGTAAATAAGTGTGATATGTATAGTTTGAGTAAAGTAACTTTGCCTTAGGACAATTGTTGCTATACTTATTTTTTTTCCTAGATTATCTAAAGAAATTGTGTTATGAAACTGCTTATTTTGGTGAACTGACTGCTAATACTGAAAATTATTCTTGCTGCACTGATGATATGGTCTGTGTCTATCTTTACAAGTTCAGGCTGTGAAACAATCTGATTTCTCCTTTTGAGCTGGAGAAGGTGCCCTTTATTTTGTGTTGTTAGTGGGCATCGTATTTTATAAGGTTTGCTTAGGTTTTTTTCCTTGGCTATACTAAGCAAAATTAGTATATTAAAATGGTCTAAAAATGTTTATACTCAGATATTAGTCTGGCATTATGTACTGAATATTTGCTATAGCTGTCTGCAGTTAATGCTTTAGCAACTGAAATGCCCTGTCCGTCCCACCCCTGTAAGCCATAAGTATGAAATTTGATATACAGACATTACTTTTTCATTAGCTTTATATTCACTGGCAGGGCAACACTGATTGCAAGGGCTAGGAAAACAAGATGTAGGTCTTCTAACTTTTGAAAAGAATGTTGCTTAGCAGAGCTGTAACTTTTCGTGTTTCTGCTAGAAACTTCACTAAATAGGTTCACTGCATTCTGTTTTCTTCTCAGGAAAACGAGACCAGTTCAGGCAGATTGTAAACCTGCTCATCCACATTCAGGTTTTAGCCAGAGGTGTTGGATTTTTTTTTTTTAAAGTAGACAAAAATATTTTCAAGCACAAACTCTTAGTAAGAAACTTGATGAAGGAACAAAATGATTTTGTCAACTTGCTTTCCAAATCCAGACAAAAATACATACAACTTTTACGTCCATAGTCGTAAGGTTGCAGACACTTTGCCTGTTGTTGTTGATCTTTGTTTTGTTTTAACCCTAGATCAAATGAAGACCTCTGAAAAAATGAAAAAAGAAAAAATGGGTGTCTTCAAGGTCCTAGAAGAATCGTCAGATTCCAGTGCAGAATGTGTGTTTTAATGCACAAATGTGGCCTGTAGTCCTACGGGACAACCCTCCGGCTGACATCGGGCCTTCTGGAGGTGCCCCTTACACACGCTGACCCTATAGCCTGACTTTCCTTAAGGCCTTGTTCAAATCCCTCGTGTTCTTCCAGGGGATCTCCACACGTTCTGCAGCATAGTGCCGGTGGTAGTTCATGTTGTAGCTTTGGTAGGCTCTTACAGAGAATAAAGAAAATGGGCGTTTCACACTTGCAGCTGGTTCTTGTGATCAGTGGTAAAACCTGGCAAATTTGTGTAAAAATATCTTTCTGTGGAAGTCTTACAATGCTTTTTTTTTTATATGGTGTCAAGGATGGTTTTATTTGGAAGGGAGAGAACATGTGCCTGTTACAGCCAATTGTGTAGCTTCTGTTTTTAACTTCTGCACGTTACTTTGATTAAATAAATGTCTGGTTTGTCCTACAAGTGTAGAGCTTTTAGCATAGCTATTTAAGTAAGCAAAGCTTAGGTTGCGTCTGCGAAATCACTCCTTCCCTACTCGTGTAGCACATTAGCCAATCTCAGGTATTTAAAAAAACAAACAAAACAACTGAAACAACAGCAGTGAAACCCCCCACAACAAAACAACAGCCACCTTGAATGAGCCTAAAGCCCCCTCCATTTTTCTGGTTGCTGACTGGCTCGTCAGCTTCCACGGGTCTGCAGTGCGCCGGGGGTGCTGGAAGGGGAAGGAGCGGAATGTCTGGGGGTGCTGAGGACACTCTCTGGGAAGGGAGCCCTTGAGCCCCAGCGGGGCAGAAAAGGCAGGCGGAGGATATCGCTTGCATACGCAGCCTCCGAGAGGCCGCTGTAAGCGGTGGTTTTCAACCAGGGCGTCAGGTAGCGTTTAAACTTTGAATGACGCTCTCTGAAAATGTCACCTAGAAGTTGCAGTCCTGGAATTGCAGCTGGAGCTGTCGCAGCTGCGGTTGTGCAAGTTACACCAAGGCACAGGGAACGTGGAATAAAATAAAATCCTACCTCATCTATTGGACTTTGGAACCTAGGTTCCAGTCACTTTATGATCATATTGTTACTTTCCATAGTAATCTGTTGGCCTGATTTAGAGAAAGTTATATTGGTGAGATGTGTTTATCCTCACCTCTGCAAGGGAACAAATAAACCTGTTAACGAGCAGCCTGGCTTTGACCTTTGCCTGGTGAAAGCCCTGTCTTGTTTCTAATCGCTGAAGACAAAAAGTTTCTGTTTTCTGCTCAGTTACTGATTAGCCTGAACAATGCAAAGTCCAGCACCAGCCGTCTCTGCGTGGTAGTTACAGAATCACAGAATGTTCGGGGTTGGCATGGACCTCTGTGGGTCACCTAGCCCAACCCCCTGCCGAAGCAGGGTCACCCAGAGCAGGCTGCACAGCACTGCGTCCAGCCGGTGTCTTGAATATC